CTCAGTAGGGTCCCACACTTGGGTTTCAGTGCTTAGCACTCATTATTAATGTTATTTTTTAATTTGTGTTTTATAAACGAAGTCCAATGGGATAATAAAACTCACATTGGGGACCGGAGGCTGGGATCTTTGGTTCACTTGCCATCCCACTTCCTACTGCCTCCCCAGGACCGGTTCTGTCAGACTGCTGGGCACCTCCTGGCTCCCCCTCACCACCCGTGCCTTGGTGGGGACCTGGGCACAAACATGGGGAGGCTTAGAGTCAGGCACATTCCCACAGAGTCTTGGAATATGGAAGGCAGCAGCTGTTTGCCCCAGGCTGGCAGCACCATGGTGCAGCGTGTCCATACAAAGAGGTTGCATTCCTCATGGGGGTCACTCCTCTCCTGTGGGTTGGGATGGCCAGCCAAGGGAAGAGAAGATGCTTGGCCAGACTTCCAGAGGAATTGTCTGGAGGCTGGTGGGAGGAGGAATCCAACAGAGGGCTCACACCAAGTCATGGGGAGGGGCTCTCTCTGAGGGTCTGCACTGCCCTGTGAGAATCCCCATGTCAGGGGAACTCAACATTAAATAGCAAATAAAACTACAGTAAGCGGAGAGAGAGAGAGAAACCACAGAAGAAAGAAAAAAGCTCTTTTCCTGCTTTTTGACCTAGGGGCTCAAATTTGCATTTTACACTGGACTCCACATATCATGTAGCCAGCCAAAAGGCATTTTTCGAAACCATATCCACCATACTCTGTTTGAAGTTCAATGTGAGTGGGAGGAGGGGATCCACAGCACTTTTAGACAGGAAGTTTCTTCCTCCTCCTCCTCATTGCCCTAGATATGCTGGAGGCTTAGCTTCTCCTATGTATCTGAAATGTTGAAATGTCAGGAAATGGCTGGGGCATCAAAGAATTGAGACATAAAATCCATACCATTGTCTGTGAACTAATTCCCTGATGCTGTGATAGACTGGGACTCCCCAGGTCTTCTATAAGTGACCAAAGACTGTAGGTAACAGGCCACACAGCTGCTTCTGAAACTCCCTGAGACATTCAAGAGAAGTAAAGCAGAACTGAACACATAGCATTGAGGCAAATGAGAATGCCTTCTGGGCAAGAGGTCTGGCCATAAATATGACTTGCAAAGGAATTAGATCATTTCTGCTGTGAGATTCTGAGAAATACATGCAGAAGCTCGTTTTTATCAGATGGAAAAGGAAGGAACTGAATCAAACCACAAGCACCAAGCAGACAGATGGCCAGTGAAGGTGAGATTGCAGGGCAGCCTCTTTGTAGAAACACTTAGATCTGCTCAGAGACCGTGTAAGGTAGAAAGCCACCTGCTTCTTGCTTCATTGAGCCAGAGAAGCACTTGTGCCAGACTTTAAAGCAGCAACAGGCCAGAACCAGAACAACTGAATTGTAAAAATGGACACAATCACCAATGCCATATGAATAATACATCTGTTATAATTCTGCTTTCCAAAGTATGTTTTCTGGATACACGAAATGTGTATTAAGATAAAAAGAATTCTTGAAATAAAAGCAATCTTGTATTTTCTACTCCAGTGCATCCAGTCAACTAGTAAATGCAGCGTGGCTGACTCCTGACTATCTGAATAGATGAAGGAATCTGATCACAGAGAACTGAAATCAACAGTTTTTCCCACCCCATTTTATCTAGAATTTTCCATATCTCCCTTTCCACAAGCTCTACTGGAGCTGGACACAAGTTGCAAAATGAATTGATTATTTCATTCTTATTTCTCTGTCTGGACTACCTATTGTTGGAATTTCGAATCAGCAAAGAATTATCTGAACAATGTAGAGTAAGCGAAAGAGAAACAGAAAGTCTATTTGATTCCCAAACTGGGTAATCAAATGACTCTTATGAAATATAAACTCCTATATATAACACAGTGAAAAGCTGGGAATTCAAAGATAGGATATTTAACATGTTCAACCCCTTTGAGAATAAAAACATTTGAGAGGAGAAAAGATAGCAATGCCATACTAAAGAAGCAATTACCGGGGCCGGCCCGGTGGCGCACTGCTACAGTGCGCCGCTTGGGAAGCGCGGCGGCGCTCCCGCCGAGGGTTCGGATCCCACATACAGACCGGCCGCTCACTGGCTGAGCGAGGTGCGGGAGCAGCACCGAGGGTTGGCCGCTCACTGGCTGAGCGAGGTGCGGGAGCAGCACCGAGGGTTGCGATCCCGTAGCCGGTCCCGGTCCGGTAAGGGCGCAACACTGAGGATTGCGATCCATTGCCGGTCACGAAAAAAGACAAAAAGGAAAAAAAAAAAGAAGCAATTACCAATTTAAAATTTTTTTTCTTAACAAGGAGAGAAGATAACAAAAGATAATTAAACTTGCCATAAAAAAAAAAAAAAAAAATCCAATAGAAAAGGGGGAGGGAGCTGAGGGGAAGGGGAAAGAGACCAGTATAGGTAAGATAAACTCAAGCCATGAAAATAATGTGCTTCAGAAAAATGCCCTCTCCATGATCAGTAGAGCCATGTTCTGTGCATACAAACATGACTTTGGGGAATTTGAGTTCATAATATTCAGTCTGGAAATTGGTAAGAAAATACAGAGTAGTGCAAAAATGGTGGAGGGGATGTGGAGAAATTGTACTTAACACTGAAATTTAGCCATGGCTGCTGTTCTAGGTAGCTGGAAGTTTGTTCATCAACTTAGTACATTCTGATAGCATTGACAGAAGTGAACTGTGTTACACTTTGGCATATGAGTTTCAGAAGCCCAGACATACAGTATGTAATGATATAATGCATGGAGGTTCTGGGGTCTATGTATCATGAATGATGTGGTTCTCTTCGTTTTGTTGTATCCTTCACTTCTTTCTTTATAGATGAAAAAGAATATGGGGTAGGGGATGGTGTATGTGTGTTTGTGAGAGAAGTGAAATAAATTAATTTTAGCTTAAATTTGCTCTATATCTTTCATTGTACTCATTTTCTTTTTTTTTTTTTTTTTTTTTTTTTTTTTTGTCTTTTTTCCGTGTCCGGCAACGGATCGCAACCCTCAGTGTTGCCCCCGTACCGGACCGGGGACCGGCGACGGGATCGCAAGCCTCGGCGTTGCTCCCACGCCTCGCTCAGCCAGTGAGCGGGAGCCGGTCTGTACGTGGGATCCAAACCCTCGGACGGGAGCGCCGCCGCGCTTCCCAAGCGACGCTCTATCCAGTGCGCCACCGGGCCGGCCCTCATTGTACTCATTTTCTAAATACTGATGTTTTTGTGAGAGAGGACAGATTTTATAGCTGGTAAAAGCACAAAAATGTGAAATGGATCACAGTGAATTCTACTGTTCTCCTGATCTCAACATTTTGTAATTCGCTTCTCATGCCACCAGGCTCTCACACATTCATTCTACAAATAATTATGAAGAGCCTGCTCTTCATATGAGGGTACTTCAAATAGTTCATGGAAAAATACAATTAAAAGATAGTACAACTCTTTCCATGAAATTTTTATAGTATCCTCCCACCTTCTCAACTGTCCAACCTACCCCGAGCCATCTGCCTTCCTGCGGCTCTGCAGCTACATACAGGTGCTTCTGATAGCGTGATGTTTATCATTTCACTTTCTTATTCTAAGTATCTTGATGGTTCTTCATAGTGCCCTCAATAAAAACCTAGTTCAATGGAATTCTAACAGTGGACTCTTAGAATCAGGAAAGTTGGGTTACAGTCCCAGCTCCGCCACTGACTTTCACCTCTGTGCACCTTAGTTTCCTCATCTGTAACCAACAGAGCACCACGGTAACTAGACTAGGGGACTGCAGTTGTTGCTCACAACATGGGTTGTCTTTACCCCTATTTTACACCTGAGGAAACAAGGATCACTCTAGTTAAGTGATTTGCCTAGAGCTGCTCAGCTAGTAAGTAGAAGGGCTGGAATATAGGAATGTTTTTGGACCCAAAGCTTTTTCCACCACATTCCTATAAAATGAGGTTGCCTAAAATATCTTCCCTTTTTGCACTATCCAATACAGTAGCCACTGGCTATATGTGGTTATTTAAATTTAAATCAATTAAAATTAAATTAAAATTCAGTTCCTCAGTCACACTAACTCCATTTCAAGTGCTCAACAGCCACATGTGGCTAGTGGCTGTCATACTGTAGTATAGATCATAGGACATTTCCATCAGCACAGGTTTTATTGGACAGGCTAGAACTTCTAAATAGCACTTGGCTCCTAATAGTCCCTGATTTCTCCACCTGGAAGGCCTTCCAGAGTCTGACTCCAGCTCTCCTTTGCTGTTGGGTTACTCATGACTCCCAATCAGGCTCTTTATATGCCTGCCAGAGTGGGCTCCCTCACTGTACCTAACACAGTGTCTTCCATTGAGCAGACAGTAAACATCTGGATAGATGGACGGGGGGAGGAAAGAGAGGGAGAGAGGAAAGAAGGAAGTGACATACATTCATGCTTTCATTAGACAAATACTTAATGAGTATCTGCTATGTGCTAAGCACTCCTCTAGGTTCCTGGGATTACAGTGATGAACAGACAGGGTCTTACTTTCTGTCTGGGTGGGTGGAAGAGTGGAGAACAGATCATAAAGAAGTTTAAAAGTAAATACAAATTCAGAGTGTTAAATGTTACAAATAAAATAAAAGCATGCTGAGCTGAGTAGGAGTAGAACTAGGAGAACTATAGATATGGTGGCCTTAATGAGGAACCATTAGAACCCAAAGTTGAGTAATCAGAAGGACCAACCATATGAAGATCTGGGTGGAACATGTTCTATGAAGAAGAAACTTTGCTGTTCAAATTATATTTTTGCATACTTTGACAAGATGTCTCATTTGTCAGCTTCTGATATATGGGGCCTGTGTAAATCCCCAGTTTAATAATAAAATTACCCTGGAGGAAGAATGTTAACAAGGAAATGGGTGCAACAATTAAGGAAGAAAGATTAATATGGAATCTATTAAAGTTGAAATGGCATTTATCTTCTATGATGTTCTTTTCTCTTGTTGTATAGCTTTGTTCCTGGACCACATAAAACTGCCCTCAAAGAAGAAGCATTACAGAAGGCAAAATTCTTTCAATATAAAAAAATATTTTCAAGAGTGGCAAGACATGGCAGAGATGATGCCATTCAAAATTTTACCAGAAACACATCCCATACCTTTAAAGATGGAAAAAGGGTGATAACTGCTCCCAAACAACATGATAAAGGAAGTGCTCGAACAATTTAGCCTAGGAACCGTGGTAAGACTTGGACTCAAATAATAACTAAATCCACTGCCAGAACTCTGGGCAACTTTTACTTGGATATCTACCTGTATCTACAGGTCTGTTCTGGAGAGTGAAGGCACAGGTTGTAGATTAGCAGGTAACTTGGCCCCCTGCACTCACTGGCATTAAGATATATCTTGTCCATTTTATTTGACAACTCCTGACAATTCCAGCACTCTAAGACTGAAATGTCCAAGAACTGTTACCATTAGAAGATGGAAGAATGAAAGTATTTTGAAAAGTCTAAAGGAGGTATAATTTGAAGGTAAATTTACAGTTATGCATGTGTATATGTGGGCCGACGCTAATTCTTTTGATTGTCTCTGTCCAGTCCATTTTATCAAGCTTTCTTTCCTCATCTAGTACTGTTTATTAATGCTCATCTGTTTAACCAAAGGTATTTCTTAATGTTTTGGGCTACTCCAACATTTATCGTAGAAATTGGTGCTGTTTATGTCATATTTTTGAAAATTTGACCTTCCATGACTATTCCATTTAAACATAACATTGTCTCTGTGTGGACTGACTAGTCCATAGATGGGCTTGTGCTGGAAGGTTTCCTCCCACCTTCTGCAGTTGTTTGCTGGGACCTGTGAGAAGCAGAGGGTAATATTCTTGAGCTCTAAATCCTCCTATACTCACTGAGAAACTCATTAATTCCATTTATGTCCTTAATTAATTAAGGACATAAATTGTTTTCGAGCTGGTAGTTCTGTTTTCATTATAGAGCTTCCTGCCCAGCCATTTTTTTTTTTCCTTTTTTGTCTTTTTTCGTGACCGGCAACAGATCGCAACCCTCAGTGTCGCGCCCGTACCGGACCGGGACCGGCAACGGGATCGCAACCCTCGGTGTTGCACCCGCACCTCGCTCAGCCAGTGAGCGGGAACCGGTCTGTATGTGGGATCCAAACCCTCGGCGGGAGCGCGCCGCACTCCCAAGCGGCACACTGTAGCAGTGCGCCACCGGGCCGGCCCCCTGCCCAGCCATTTTGATGGATTTCTAGTCTTTCTCTCCTGTTATAGTCTTTTATTAATTTTCACTAATCCATATATTGTTTAGACAGGAGAGTAAAGACACAACTTGTCATGGGTGAAGCTCTGAGTTACTTTTACCCAGAGCAGGTAGCTATTTAGTTGACAGTGAACTGCACCAAAACAGGATTGGCAAAGCTCTAAAAGGAAGATTAAATGCACACTGAGTTTGGGAAAGGTAAGAAAATTTGTTAATGTTTTAATCTACAAATCCATATGGGGTTGCAGAGATGTCCAAGAGATCAGAGTAAGTTAAAACATGAAAAGGTGTTTGAAGTGCCTAGCCTCTACTAGCATTCTCTGATGGCTCTGTCTCTTCATCTCCTCATCCACATCCAATTCTTGGTCTTATGATGGGGCCGATATTTAACAACCCAAAATAGCACTATTTAATTTAGAGACAATGTTTGGAACTTACCTCAGTCTAAGAGCTTGCTCCACAGTTGGTAGCGATTGCCCTGCTAGGGAGAGTATCACTCTCTTTGGGAAGGCAGAGAAGCCCTGCTTGGACGTGTGGGGTAGATGGTTATTGGCACCAAAGATCAGTAGGGTGCATTCAGATTTTCTTTTCTATGCCTTTTTTCCTAAAACCTGGAAGAAAGAGCCAATCTGCAGTATTTTCCTAAGTCACTTTTGCCATCCTCACTCGGGCAACTCCATAGAGATAGCTCCCAATGTCTAGAGGAGCAATGAATCCAAGGAGTTAAATGTCTTATTCATACTCAGGTAATAGAGAAGAATAGAACACATCAGGTTTCTTCATCTATCCTAAATGGTGACTAGAGGTTCAGGAAAAATTTATGTTGTAAGTACAAGAAATTGATGAGCAATATTTAAAAGCATTAAAAGATTTTTCTAGTTAATTTTGGATTAAGCACAAATTCCTTTCTTATGTTTATTGTTGAAAATATTTTTAAAATGTATTTGTCTGTTTTTCTCTGCATTGGTAGTAAGTAAAGCACACCAAACAAATATCCCTTTGGTGATTCATAAGATTATTTTAGCATTTTGGGACTTTTTTTTTTTTTTTGTCTCTTTCGTGACCAGTAAGAGGATCACAACCCTTGGTGTGTTGTCACCCGCACCGCGCTCAGCCAGTGAGTGCACCGGCCATTCCTATATAGGATCCGAACCCGCGGCGGGAGCATTGCTGTGCTCCCAGCGCTGCACTCTCCCGAGTGCGCCACGGGGGCCGGCCCTTGGGACATCTTTTTAATCATTAATAGGTGCGCGATCTGAAGTACACTGCAAATAGAAGTTCCTTTTAAAAAATAAATCCCTAGTGTTAGCATTTTCCATGATTTACCTCTTTCTCCTAAAAGTGGAAAGCAGCAAAAATTGAGTATAAATTTAATAAAGCCCTAGTTAAACCAAAAATCACACAAACAAGTGATGATGCTTCTCGGTTTAAAAATGTAAATTAATTGACTATAAAGGACCTTCCTCTCATTATCTCTGCCCTGAGTTATGAATCAACTTGTTAAAAGAAAAAAAAAAAAGTAGAAGTTAAAGAGATGCAACTTAACATGGGATCAGATTATAATACTCTTAACAACTCAACCAAATAATTTTTTTTTAAAGTGGGAGTGGGGGTGGGAAGTAATGGGTGGTAGGAAGCTAAGAGGAGAAAAGAATCATATCATCTGTCAGCCCACTTCGTTTTTTCCTCAGCACATCCCCTATATATCAGTTGTGGTGCTTATCCAATGGGCTCTAGGCCTGAAGCCCATTCTCAGTATAACAGTTTATGTATCAAAAAATTTTTCCCCAACCCCTGCAGACTCTAAATCTGACTTAGTAGCTTAAAACCCTGTAAATATGGTCTCAGTGGACTAAGGGAAACAGGCAATACCACACAACAATGCCAAATTTGCCAATTCTACATATCTACTAAGCCACCTGGCCTAGTCAGAGTCCATCATGCCTAACTGAATGACCTTTCTGAATGACTGGCATTTTCTAACAGTTTTGCTGTTTATCTGTCCAAAAACTAAGTGAATTTAATCATGAAACTAGACATAAGCATTATAAACTGTTGTGTACCATAACTGAATTATATAATTATAGAAATATAGAAAATTAATTTTTAGAGTTTTTCTTAAGTAGTATTTTCCCCAAATACAGACTCAACTTTTTGGTTTATAGATTTGTATAACTAATTTCAAACTAAAATATTATTTTGAAAACCATAAACCCTTTTGCAAGTGGATGAGAATTAAATGTGGAGAAAGAATTAAGTCTGTACACAAACAGTGATCAATAACCTTAAAGGTTTTATCTTAGTGGGAAAGGCCAATTTTGGCCTTTAAAAAATATAAATTTTTGGCATGTTTTAAACAACTAAATCCTTTTATTTCTCTTTTTCATGTATTTAATAAAAAAATCTACAATGGATAAAAGCAAGCTGATGGGTCAAGTGTCAGAATTTATTGTAGAGCCTATAAAAAATGATGATGGCCAAGAAGAGACACATTTCTCTAGAGCTGATACACAGGAAATCAATTCTACAGTGTTAAGTAACCAATAAGGCAGACTATAAAACACAGAGGAAGAAAGGTAAGATAGCAGAGCAGGAGTACAATACTGAGAGTCTAGCCTAAGGCCTAGTTCTGTCGTTGATTCCGGTGATACCAAGACCATTTCTTCACCTCAGAACAGTTTCAGCTCCTGAAAAGTTTATGCCTCTGCTAAAGTTTACTGTTAAAAACACCACCTAGAACAAACAAAAAACTCTTAGGATAGCTGAATATAGTTTATTGACAGGTTTGAATAGTACTTTTAATAGCAAAAATGTGTTATAATAGCTTACAACCATCTTTTCCAATACAAAATAAACCGAGGTCATATTCGTCTTTACATTTCTCACCTCTATAACATATACAAAAGTCCCAGATATTATTTTCTGGCTGATTCTTCCAGAGATAAATGCATGAGTAAACGAGCCCAATACAACCTCCTTAAACACTTGGAGTAGGATTTATTTACTCACGAAAGAGTAACAGAGACATGATTTTGAAAAGTAAACAAATGATCTGCTCTCACTTCTGTTCTCTAGAAATACCTTTCCTCTACAGTTATAACATATTATTTATAACTTTATTACAAATAATACAAAACAGCAAGTTTTTACTTCCACACCTTCACAATCCCGTCTCGAGAAGCAGTTACAATGAAGCCCTGTGTTGTCTGGAATGTGGCAACATCCGTGATGATGTCATGATGTCCCACAGGCAGAGACTCTGGGCCCCTTCGAGGGGTGTCATCACTTGGGCCTACCTTCTGCTTATTCTGAATTTCCTGTTTTATGGTTAAAAGTCAAAGAGAATACCTCTTGTCAGTATTCTTGCTTCTGGGATATGGTGTTTTTAAGTTAATACCTTTAGTAAAGTAGTGCTTTCACAAATTCATTGAGAGTATTAAGGAGTAAAAAGAGCCAGCCCAAAAGGCCATTCTAGGCTTCCAGTCTCTGGATTCCATGAATAGTCACTTACAAATACAGAAAACTTATAAACAGGCTAATATTCTGTGCATATAAACTTCTGTCAACATCAAAAGAAAAGAGGGAAAAAATATAATTGGGAAAGGAATAATTGACCAAAATATAGAAGTAAATACATATCAGATGTTCTTGCATTTTTAAAGTTCTTTAGTATTTGTCATGAAGGTTGCACACTTTCATTTATGGAGCACCTACTGTGGCCTAGGCACTTTCAGGTATATTATTTCATTTGAAATTTTTGCCTAAGTTAAGAATACAAGCTTTAGAGTCTCAGTAGCCAGGTTTGATTGAATCCCAGCTTTCTGTTGACTAAGCTGCATGATCTTCATCAGGTTACTGAACTTTATTGTGTCTTTCTCATCTCTAAAAAAAATTATTTCCTTACAAAGTTATTTTAAGGACTGAGAAATGTATCAAGTGCCTACTATT